TAGTAGTAGTAGTAGTAGTAGTAGTAGTAGTAAGGTGGCTGTAGACACTAAACACTGCTACTTCTGAAGAGTTGCAGAAATTGGCAAAGATCAGTTTGAGACCAGCAGCATGTGTTAAAGGCAGCAACTGGTGGTGTGTGCGGCTAACCTGTGGCAATCAGCCGTGACTGTGTCAACCAGCAGCAGAGTCCCAAGCAGCAGACAGCAGAGACTGGCCTTGGAGATCTGCAATGAACAGCCCCGACCAGCATCAGTACATGGCATCCAGTGACAATGAACAGCCACAGCTGGTAGGAATCGGTGATCCACAGACACCAGCAGAAAGTGCTAAGAAGAGACCCAGATAGCTGCCCAGAGTTAGACTTGACTACTGACGAGCTGCTAGGGGCAGCCATGGAATTAAGGGCCAGAGGCTCTTGGTGCAGAGTCCCAGAACTGTAACACCATTGGCTGAGGGCCTCTGGAAGAGCTGCACCTTGCTGATTAATGATTTCCTCAACTAATTGACTACAACCCCATGCTGGGCTAAGAGCCGTTTCAGTATATTCGTTTCAGTATATTCTCCTAATCTGCACTCCACGCAGTCACTCTGGTCCTCCCATCAGCAACGTGTAGGTAAGAAAAATGAGGCCCAGGGGGCTGGTGAGATGACTCAGTGGTCTAAAGCACCTACTTAGAACAAGCTTAGCAAAGCACGGGGACCACGGTTCAATCCCCCAGCACCACATGCCAGCCAGCCCCGCCCCCTGGTGGGCTGAGCTGGCCACACACACACACACACACACACACACACACACACACATAAATAAATTTTTTTTAAACAGTGACTATCTTTAAAAAAAAAAAGAAAAGAAAAATGAGGCCCAGAGAGAGGGTGTGGTATGCCTGTGTCACAGCAACACAGGCCTAGACTAGAGCAGGAAACCAGGCCTTTAACCCCAGCTGACACTCTTTTCCCAAATAGTCCCACAGCCACCTCTTCCTGCGTGGTCTCAAGGGCGTAACTCTTCTTGGCTCACTCTCTGAGCGGCTGCCCTGTCCCCGTTCTGCCTGGAGCCCTACTCACCCTGCTGAAGTGTGTTTCTATTTCTCAGGCTTTGCCTGCAGGGCGCCACAGTTATAGCAGGTCTTGCTCTTGTTCCTCCATGACCAGCTCTGGCTCAAGCTGCCTTCCCAGCTGGGGTTCTGTTGTCTATGTCCCCAACCTAGAGCCCTCCCCTTCTCAGCCCTCCCCATTGGGGAAGGGAGGCTTAGCACTGCTCCTGCTCTTCCAAGGGAGGTCAGTAGGGCAGGGGTTTGGCCCGTGCCACTTGAGCCAAGCAAGTCCAGGCACACTGCCCAAAATAGCATCCTTTCTTCTGCCAGTGGCACCATGGAAGCCAGAGATCTGAGGCAGCCCTCACGAGGGAAGGAGTGGAATTCCTGGTGGGCACGCTCAGACTCAGTCCTCCAAGCCAAGGGTCAGGTCTGTCTATGGGGCCAGAGCCTGAAGTAACTACTGCAGGTGTCCAGACCCATGGAAGGCTACAAAGGCTTCTGAGCCCCAGCTACAGGAAGAAGTATGCAGAATGAGGACTGGAGATAGAAATATCTGGGGATCAACGGTCAGGTAGTAGGGTGGAGGAGATCCTGGGGCAGTCCTTAGGGAGGAGAGACTTAGACTTGTCCTCCAGGTGCCTGGGTCTGAGAGGACACAAAAGCCATATCTGCAGGGAAATCCCAGACAAAGAGGGTAAGAGGAAACCTAGGCCCTCCCTTGAGATCACCTCCCTTGGGAAATGCAAGGCCTCGACAGAGAACCCCAAGTTGAGCCAGGAGGAGCCTCCCACTTAGGACTGTGAGAACTGAGGGACTGAGATGGGTCAGGAAGGAGCCTAGACCAGCTGCATGGCGCAGCCAGGCTTGGAAGGACAGGGCAGGCAGTTGGGGGTTTGAGCTGGTGACATGGTACTGAAACATGAGGGAGTCTTTGCTGGTGTGCAGACCGTAAGAACACCTGCCAATGGAGTGGTGGAGAGTGGGCAGTAGTCCAGGGACCTTCCAAAGCTGACAATCCCTTCAAGGGAGGGAGTATAGGATTTGCTTGCCTGGTGCTCCAATTTGGGAGTGAAAGTGTCCTCTAGAGGGTGCCACAGACCAGGCCAGGTCTGTAACTTGCAGAGCCCAGCTTCTACTCCAATACATCCCATCCCAACGTGCCCATAAGTCATGGCTGGGAGAGGTAAGGGTAAGGAGCAGTGCCAGGCTTCCTAGTTGGAAGCCCTTCTTCAGGAATGAACTCTCCTAAGCCCCAGAAGTCTGAACTTCTGTTTCTTGGTCCCCTCTGCAGATCTTAAGGAGATTCAGGGTACTGTTTCCCTTCCTTCAGCAGGGACACACTCTGTAAGAAGGGATGCTGCCTTTAGTCCTGCCTTAACTGTGCCGTCATGGTCAAGGGTGAGGGAAGGTCAGCGGGGAGCTGGGACTCAAATTAGGTCAGAGCTTGGGCAGAGTTAGATTGGGCTGGTGTCAGGGTGGTGAGAGGGAATTGGACTCCATGCTGGGGTCAGGCCCTGGGCCATATTTACTAGACTGATGCTGGCAGCTGAGAGGTGGAGAAGAGAGTTCCAGGAAGTAGGAGATAATGTAGGACACGGAGATCAGATGGAAGGAATAACCCAGTCTAGAGAGGACAAACGTCCTCCAGAAGAGGTGACACTGGAGCTGAGTCCTCCAAGATGAGCCAAGGAGGAGAACAGTGGTATCTGAAGCTGCTTGAAGCCCAGTGGGATTGTGAATAGTCTAGTCTGTGAATGGAGAGTGGCTTAAAGAGAGCTGAAGTCAACAGGGGTTACTTGAGGGGCTTGCTCTGTTTCTGACTTTATCCTAAGGGCCAAGGAACCACCAAATATTCTAAGCAAAGAGTAGAGTCTTCCACCTGGAGCGTTTGGAGCCCAGGCATCCAACAGGTAGAGACACAGATGGCCTGGCTCAGGAAGATGGCCCAGTTGTCTAAGGACAAGGAGCTCTCAGCCCTGGGCACTCACCTTGGGGGTCTAGGTGCCAGGGTTGGGATTCTGAGGAATAGGAAGAGAACTGAGAAGAAGCAGGTGGGAAGGAAATGGAAACCCAGACACTCCAGCTACCAAAGCCTGATGGAAGGCAGGGGGCAGCGGTGGTCCCAGAGTTGGGTGTTGGGTAGCCAAGCATACATTGCCGAGAGTTGCCAGGGTAAGCTTGGGGAGGGCGCTAAACATATGGAAGTCGAGGGGGTATCAGCCACCTGAGGAGCTGGGCATGGTGGCCCATACCTGTAATCCTAGACAATCAGGAGGTATCCTGGGCAATTTAGTGAGACTCTGTCTCAGATTTTTAAAATCTGACTTTATTGGTAATTTTAGATATACGTAATGATCATATTCATTGTAGAGAATTTGGACCTGTACATGATATAACTTGTTTTTTCTCCATTCCCCTACCCTCCCTTCAGCCCCTGGTTCTCTTCCTCTTTACAAAAGCTTTGTTTCCATTTCTTGTCTCAATTTTTTTTTTTAATTAAAAGGGCTAGGAATGAAGCTCAGAGCTCCCTGGACTCAATCCCCAGTACTGCCTCAAAAAGAGAGAAGAGGAGTAGGGGAGAGAAACAGGTCAACTGTGGGGAGAGGACAGGTAGATGAAAGAGCCACAAAAGCAGACATCGGGGATCAGGGTTATAAAGCATTTATAACCCTGGGGGTAGTGGCACACTCCTGTAATCCTGGCATTCTGGAAAGTGGAGGCAGGAGTACCGATCTAAAGTTTGAGCCCAGCCTGAGCAATTTAGAATGTAGTCAGACCCAAAAAATAAAAAGGGTTGACAATGTAGCTCTGTTCAGAGACCCTGGGTTCAATCTCTAGTAGTGCAAAAGAAAAAAGACAGATGAATTTGAGTTTCAAAGAAACAATACTTGGGACATACTTATACTAAAAAAGTATATTCATTTTTCTCTAGATTTTCTTTTTCTGGTGTTGGTGGTCGAACTCATGGCCTCATACATGTTCTACCTCTGGGCAAGATCTCAGAGATATTTAACTGGTGGACTGTGTTTTTATTTGCTAAGGCTGGCAACACTCTAAGCTTCAGTGAAGACACTTCCATGTGTGTCTTGAACACTGATCTGGTTTTAAATCCTCGCTGGACGTTTAATTCACCACACAACTGCAGCTCAGTCCCTATCTCAGGCCTCTGTTTCCCCACCTACAAAACAGGGCTGGAGGACATGAGCTACTTTTGTCGACCAGAGAGTATGCAGGACAGTGTTTGTGAAGCCAGCAACAGACCATCAGGTCAAATCTAATTTGGTGTAGGGCCATCGACATAGCTCAGTGGACTAAAGCACCTGCTTAGGCCAGCTTAGGCCACTGCAGAGGTTCGACCCCTGGCACCACATATCCCCTTCCAAATTCACTTTCAAATAGACTCAATGCAGAATAAGGTAGCAACTTTCTCAGGATCACCCAGAACTAAGACTTCCAGGATGGGATGAGCTGGCCAAAAAAAAGAAACAAAACCAAACCAAACCAAAAAACTCATTTTGTGGGCATGATAAAATAGTTCAAAATGAATGAGCAATCTTGTGGCATTAAAGAACAATTTTTGCAAATTCTGATTCCTCTTTGTTATGGTTTGTGTCTAGATGTCCCCCCAAAGCCTCATGCACTTGTAGATGGGGATTTTTCAGAGAAAGCTGAATCTAGAGTGTATGATTGAGTCATGGTTCAATGCTAGGATTCACATGCTGAGATAAAGGTGCTGAGATAAAGGGTCGGTGATTGCTGGATCAGTCCACTGATTGGATTGGCACCACCCTGATCCCAGGAGTCTGAACAAGGTAAAAGGGGCAGAAAGAGGTTTGTCTCTCCTTTCCCTTTTTGCTGTTGCTGTCTTCTGCCTCCATGAACCATTTCTACTCTGCCAAGCCTCCCTGCCTCGAAGCCAGCAGGTTATGGACTGAAACCTCTACAAATTGTGAGCTAAATAAACTTTCCCTGGGCTGGTGAGATGGCTCAGTGGTCTAAAGCA